AGTATTTGTGGAATTACTTCCACAAACAAAATAACTCCCACAAATCTTTTCTTTGAATTCAGAAAATGACTGATAGAATGTTTAGTAACACAACTTTGGGAAATTTTTTACGATAATTATTGACTTCGAAAATTGAAAAAATGAGAGTAGTTATATTTTTTTTCAAAGTTGGAATTTTTTGTATTTTCGCATATTGCGACCGTAAATGGGCTGGAAGAAGTTATTCAATAACAACTCAACAGCTACGCGGTAAAACGCTCTAAGTCGATTTAGTCCATAGCTAAGTTTTCTAGGAATATCTCCCTATCTGAGGGAGATGACGGAATTTTCGTCAATACCTTTTTTGTAGAGCGAATTAAGGCCTACAAAAAAGGTTATGACAAAATTTTAGCGATCTCCCTTAGATTTAGAGATATTCATAAAAAATTGGTGAATACTCAAAATCGACTTAAACCGTTTTACCGCTTCGCTTCAATTCAGTCCTTGAATTGAAAAAAAACTACTCTTGAAATTAAAAATTTTTCATGTTATGTCACCATTAGTTTTCTGACATCAAGTTGTCTTTTTTCCCCGTAAACTTGAAGAAAATTCACCAATCGACATTATAGCTTTGCAAAAAAAAATGCATAAAATTGTGGCCCCCATATCCGCCGTTGATATCGATTGCCAAGGGCAGGAGAAACGAGGCAGACCTCTCCCCCCGGTTGGATTGCGCGCCACAGTGCAAGAGGCCAATGAGGGGTGTATTGCGGTGAAGGGGGCAAGAGAGCGAGGGAAACCCACCACCGAGAGAGACCCCGAAGACTCAAATAGGGATATATTCACATCGGGGGTTTGTATACGTACTGAACGAGGCTCTCTGTCGTTCGGGGCATAAGGGTACAAGGGAGGGGGCAGTTTGAGGGTGGAAGTTGACGAGAAAGCGTCGAGGGCTCTCCCTAATTCGAATTTAGGTGTCGGCCTGGTTGCTAAGTGGGCGCAATGCGGTGTCACGCTGCGGGCATTTCTCCTACGTCTACGATTTTTTTTTCACGTCTGTACCATTTAACCTTTATTAACTCCCCGATTTATAGGGGATTATTGTAATCTGCTGAAAAATGAAAAGTGGAATTTTTATATTTTCTCTAGCTTTATCTTGAGCTGCAGAATAAATTACCAAGTGAAGATTTTTTCTTTATTCCCGATTTTTGCTTCCGCATGCAAGCTTTGTGTTCCCTCAAATTTAAGGTATATTTATAGAACACAGATTTTTCTTGCGATAGTCCCCGTGTTTTTCATTGATAGTGTTTATAATATTCTCCAGATATTGAAAAAAATGCTAACTAGCTGTACTGCACAGTTCAGGAGGTGATAAATAATGAAATGCGGGCTTCTAGCAGCGAGGCCTAGGCCGAACAATTTTTTGATCTTATGAAAAAACAGTTCTTACGATGTCCTTAACCCTCGATCACTCGCGCAATGAGCGCGGCGCCGCCCGTTTTCGTTTTTTCATGTTTTAGCGTGTTTCTCGACGCTTAAAAATTCTGAAAAAATTAGAGTTGCACGTTCAATCCTTTTATTAAGCGTTGGCGTTATCCATTCTTGTCTCGCGAAATTTGTTTAGCTAAAAAAAAAAAAAGAAACGTCGAACGGACAGAAAAGTGGCGCCGCGTCGCCCGGCGCGAGTGAGTCTCCGTTGACCGCTCGAGCGGCAGTGTTGCTACATTCACTGCCACACTTGAAATGCGCGCATAGCGGTAAGCGCGAAGGTGGCAACGGCGCGCCCGGTTTAACCCAGCGGCGCTGCGCTAACCGTGCGACACGCGTTAACATGGTCCGGGGATTCCCTCACGATGTTAACCCCGAAGTGGTCGCATCGTGAGGGAATCCCCGCAGAACTATAAGCAACCTTTAGGCACCACTGTAGAGCAAGTGAGATGCTAGAAAAGCGCGACCTCTTAAGGTGTAACAGAATGCTCTCAATTTTCTAAATTTTTGAACAAATTTCCTGCTAAAAGTTATCGATATTTTAAAAAATCGAAGCACATTAATCTCCAGGAGGTGATGATGAAGATCAATGGGCTTTGAGTTGAAAAAATATTAATAATTTTGAGCAGAAAATTTGTTTAAAAATTACGAGAAAACGATGGCCTTCTGTTACTCCTTAAGGGTTAAAAAACGGATGCGGGATAGACTGATAAAGTCTGCATACGGTGAATTTGTTGTAAAATTTTATAGTACATCGTTTCAACGCCATTCAACAGTTATTGTTGCCACTTAGTCATTTCGTTTTTGTGGGAGGAATTGCCTTAAGATATCTCATAAGTTTCCGATTTTTTGTGTTAGGATAACTGCATATGGTCTAAAAAATCCGAATATGCGATTTTTAGGTGATGTAAGCATGTGGTCTTTTTTATTAATTTTTTTTCGAAATTTTCTTACAAGCGATCTATAGAATTTCATGAATATAGACTTTAATAAGCAATACCCTCTTGACTCCACCACAATATGATGGGTTTTTCATGATTACTGAAAGCATTATCAGTGACAGCAATTAAACCAGGCTTGAAAATTATATTTTAACGCCTTCTCAATCAAGTTGAAAAACGGTGAGAACGGCATCATTGCTTACCAAGTTACACAATACCGTCATGAGCTTTTTATATAAAAATCTCCATCTCTATTAAACTCAGGTATCAGTCTGTGTAACTGGAGACAGCTTTATAATAATTGGCATTTTCCATTTTTATAATAAAATCAACGTATACACGATAACTCCCGCAAAAATTGTGATTGAAAGTCAGAATTTGGTGGATGGGGGGGAGGGGGGGGGGAATCATATAACAAGTGAACAATTGTCTTTTTTTGCCAGCAGAACGATTATGCACGTTTGAACTTTCGTATGTTGAAATGAAACAAACATTTATCTTGATAATTTTCAACTTGAGATTATTAATGAACAACACTTGTTTGAAGATATATTTTTCCTATCACTGCTCTATTCCACTCTTTATTTATTTTTTCAAATAGAGGGAATACTCTGTCGGTACATTCCTCTCAACTCAACCCCTTAAAAAAAATCGATAACACGACGGCGGTTGAGTAATGGTTTAATTATCACTCTGCCCCTTAGGGTCAAAAGTTATCGCCCTCCATAAGTGTATCACATTCCCCTTGAAGAGAAAAAAAAGTCATAGAAATAAATAAACGGACAACCGGGGGCACACGATGGGAAACATTAATGCGTACGGTTCAGGGAGGTCTGGAGTGGTCCTGGAAGAGGCAGTGCCTGGTAAAACGAAGATAGCAGTGAAATATTGCCAGATAACCCTCGAGCTCTGGCAAATATTGGCCTCAAGTTTTTTATCCGTCGATTCGCTTTACTCTTTTATCTATCGTTTTTCATTTTCCTCTATCAGACATCGACTAATGTATGTCACAAATTCACAGATTAACGTGGGAGAAACTGACGGGGTGGATTAATTAGTGATGTACTTATGGTTGGGTTTTTTAGTGATATTCAGTAGTGGAGTAGTTGTCATTTTTAATTTAATTGTTGCGATAACAAGTAATGTTAAGACATTTCTTATTTTTTAATTTTTTCAACTCTGAGATTCTCATATTTTTTAAAAATATTACTCAGCAATTGGAATTCTTCATTTCACTGAAATTTTTAAGAATTGGGTGTTTTTTTAAAGATGTGACATAGAAATTTCGTGAAAATCACAAGTTTTGTGATTTATATAATAGAAAATAGGTGGAAAAAAATAATAAATAATAATGGACTAGTGTATGGCACAAATTCATAGATAAATATGGGGAAAACTAACGGGGCGGATTAATTACGATATTTCATGAACATTTCTCATTTTTTAGTTTTTAAAATGCTGAGATTCTCATAATATATTTTTTTAAATATTGCTCAGCAATTAGAATCCTGCTTTTCACGAAAATTTTTAAGAATTGGCGATTTTCTTTAAGATGTGACCTAGAAATTTCACGAAAACCACAAGTTTTGTGATTTATTAATAGAAAATGAATTTTCTTTAGAAAAACTAAAGGTTTTAAACAGGCCTTGCGGTCAAAAGAATACATTTCAATCTCTTAATTTCCCTCTCAATATTCGATTTAGTCTTCTTCTGAGTCTGATTGACCGCAAGGCCACTTAAAACCTTTATAATTCATTAAGACGGTCACTAGTCAACATTTAATAAATAATACGCTTTCATCCATCTCTTTTCATTTCCGTCCATCAGACATCGGTTAGGGTGTGCCACAATTTCACAATTTTACAGGTGGATGCATTAACGATGTACTTATGAATAATTTCTCTAGTGCAATTCAGTAGTGGAGTATTTTTCACTTAATTTCCTTGTTGCTATAATGAATGACGTTAAGATGATGTTTTTCTTCAAGAATTTGAAAGTCATATAATAATATATTAATAATAATTTGTTTTTAATATTAGCTAAGCAATTGAAATTCTCCTTTTCACTAAGATTTTTAAGGATTTACTGTCTTCTTCAAGATGCCATCAAAATCTCGACAAAACTACGCGGTATGTAATTAATATAATTGAAACTAGATGAAAAAAAAAACAAATAAAGAACAAAATTGTAAAAATGAAATGAAAGTTATACTATTATTCCCATCCATGATGAAAAATCCCTTTTATCTCACTGTCGTTTCTTAATTTGAAAACCGTTGCATTTAAAGTATATTTTATAAAACTTGCAGAGTTAATTTCATCTCCATAGTTGAGGAGGAAAAAAGATGAGGGGCTGGATAATGGCCAAGGGAACTCGACCATTGGCTCCTCGGGGCTCTTACAAAGCCCGAATAGGAGTAAAAAAAGGGGACGGAGGAGTGCAGAGATAATAAAATCATAGAATATTCAATAGAGTACTTGGGAGAGTCGCAGAACTGTCGATTCCGCGCAAATTCATTGTTGCTCCACCTTGTTTCCCTTGAGATTTCTTGTGATTTTAGATGGTAAAAATATTGCAGTTGTTTGGACTTACCTGGTTGCTCTTTTTCTGGCAGTTTCTGTGGTGATTTCTTGTCAGGAGCTTTCGGTGAACAATTCTTACGAGCTGGTCGGGCTGTTAGTGTGGGTGGCACCTGAAAAATCCATTCAAAAGTTACATCTCAAATGCCTCATTAATAATATTAATTTAAAATGATTCTTTGAAAAAAATAATTATCAAAAATAAATGCATTGATTCTTAATAAAATTACTAATTTCTACGCCTCAATTCCTTCAAAGAATTTTTTTCCACTGAAGTAATAGATCAGAATAAATTACAAAAATTTCATAAACATTATTGAAAAAATCTCGTTCAATCAGAAAATCTCAATCCTTCTTTTTCTATACGACAAAATTTTCCAACGGAAAAATACTGACGAAGTAATATTGAAATCCTGCTGAACTCTCATTATCATTCATCATTTCATCTAATGAATGGAAGACAAAGAAAAAATGAAGTTGAAAAATTCATGTTGGACATTAAATTGCAATTTCCTGAACAGTTCAGTAGTAATTTTCAGAATGGAACAATTGAATTCGATTCACGGGCGAAAAAATCATGAAAGTTCAAATTTTGGAGCAGCAGGAACACAAGAAATCGCCAACTTCCTTGAAATTTGAATCAAACAAGAATATCCCAACCAAATTACGCAGACTGTTCAATTAATTAAAAATTCAAGTATATATTCACCTGAAATTTACAATTTCCATTGATATTTCCATCAAATTGTGAATTTCCAATGACGAAACTTCGTGAAATGTCAGTGTAACTGTCACATGATAAAACCATTCCCAAACTATATCGAAAATTTCACCCAAAAATTATTCTCTGAATAATTCTACTCAATGTATCCCAAAAAAAAATCAAATTTACCACTTTCTCGGAGCGTTCCCCAGAAGGTAACCTGGCAATAGAGGCATCAGGGCTGTCCTCAGGTGGTGGAGGCTGAACAATCCAATTGTACTCCCTCTTCTCAATAGGCAGTCCCCACCTCTCATACTCCAAGCTCTGTGTCCTGAGTGTTTCATAACAATCAAGACAAACAACTGCAAAATCCCCATTCTCCAGCAGCAGACTCTTCTCAGGCTGCCTGTGATACCTCAAGAAGGGAAAATCCTTGACAGGAAGTGCCCTCACCCTCTTTCGATATGTCGTTATTCCACAGACATAGCACCAATAATCATGGGTATTGTATTGTCTCTCATTAGCAGTGATTTGTTGTCCAGTGGTGAGTGACTCGTACTTTCTCCACTGAGCGAGAAGTGAGTGATAACAAAATGTACATACAAGAGCTGATCCATCCTCCCTGAGTTGTTCAGCATTTGTTGGTGACTGATGGCGCAGTAATTCCGGAAAAAATGGGGCATTACGACCCTGTGGACGTCCATAAAGTACCCTAGCAAGTGTGAGATCACTGTGAAGACCACAGAGAAAACAGTATATTGAACTGCTCGATGTGCCTGGATTACTGGCAAATGTTCTGTCTGAACTTGAACTCGGTGGTGTTGCTATTGAACGATTAACATCCCCATTGGGATGTGGACTAGGTATGTCGTATCTACGACGCTCCAGGGGGACTCTCTCGGCGTCCATATTCTCCCACTGTTGGGCCAAGTGGTTGACACAGTGGCTGCAAGCTAGAACTCTACCGTGACTGTCCATACAGGCGTTCTCGGAGGTTCGGGCCATACCACGGAGACAGGGAAAGTGCATTGCGTGGGAATTCATACCTTCTGGACTTGTTGACAGCCTGGAAATTAATTTTTGTTAATTGACGAATACTTTTGCTTGCAATGGGAAGTGGTGCAATTGATCAAATTACGTTTTCAAGTTTTCAAATTATATCAGTCCGTTATGAGCAAAAAAGTAGGGAGAGGGGGGCAAAATGAAATAGCTAAAAAACGACTATTTGATGCAATTCAAGCAAAAAAATTTTGTTTTCATTAACTTTTGTTGATTAAATTTTTTGATTATTGGGAGAACTGATGAGAATAATAATTTTCTATTTGTCTTCATTAGATTAGGCCGATTACACTTTTCTTTTTTCATTCAATTGAAATTCAACATCACATTTTCCTTTTTCCCCCTCTGGGTCTCCCCCTGGGCCTTCCTCTGGACTTTGGATTCTGCTGTTCCATTTTCTTTTCAATGAATCCATTGATAAAACCTTCTTCCGTCGAAACTTTTCAATAATTTTCTGTTCTACTGAATTAAAAATTATTATTTTCATCAATATTTCCAAAAATAAAAAAAAGTTAATAAACAAAAGTTGATGAAAAAAAAAATTTAATGAACAAAATTTTTTTTTGCTGAAATTGCGTCAAACAGTCGTTTTTCGACTGTTTCATTTTGCCCTCTCCCCTACGAAAATCTAATTTTTATAGCCTGTTTGTATGAGGTATCCGTTCTAAATATTACGGTAAACTAGATTACGCCAAAATATTACAGTAAATGGTGTAACGATCAAAATTGTCACGGAGTCTCATTATCATTTGTTTGAAACAATCTTGATCACTTATTAATAAAAGAGAAACATTTCCAAACAATTAATTAATAATTTATGGTCAATTTAATTGATCAATTTGATGATAAAAAAATTTTGAGTCTGTGATTAAATTGTGATGAAATGATTCCAAGAGTTATTTATAAATTATTTTGGAAATTTTTTCTTAAATTGGAAATTTCAGTGAATTTTTTTACGGATTTCGCCATTTTCATAACTTACCACTCCATTTGGGTTCTTGGATATAGTCTCTCACAGATGTAACACCTGTAATTCTGACCGCCAGCGACATTTCCATTCTCTGCTGGTGCACCACTGCTACTTGGTGAATTTCTCTGGGCTGAACTTTGTATTTTAACATTGGCACTCCTCGACTTTGATGCTACTCCACTGGACTTGTTCAAGTCGTAGGGCTTGAAACGAATATCACTGCCAGCTGAATTAGCTGGGGATTTAGCTACTACTGGCCTTGGGGATGGACCTGGAATCAATAAAAATTGAATCAGAGAAACAATTTGGATTATTTTAATTAATAGACATTACATAAATAAACATTACATAAACTACATTCATAATTAATTTATTTATATTCATAATATTCTCAGAGATCAGTAATTTTGAAAATAATTTTTAAAAAATACCAGGAATATTCAGCATCATTAAAATGACATTTTGCACAGAATTATTGCTCGTTTAAACATTTTTTGTTTATAAATAAATAATATAAATTGTTTAAACTCATGGAAACAATTTTTTTTAGGCATGAAATCGATTTCTGGTAAAATTCAGAATATGAATAAATTTTTTACGATTCCGAACAAATGATTTTTATAGTGGAAAATTGATTGTTTATAAATTATTCAAAGAAAAAGCTCGTAATTTTCAAAAATTGCAATTTTCAAATTATTTCATCAATCTTCCTCCAAAAGTAAACTATCTAATTTTTCCAAAGATTAAACAAAAATTTTCTATTGGTTCAATATCGAGATTCTAATTCAGACCTGCAAATTTTGAATACTAAGATCATTGTAAAATGAAAATGAAAGCTCTGATGTTGGGAAAAATAGCCAAAGTACTTGGATATCCTTAAACATTATAAGAAATCAAATTTTATTTGATGGATCAAGATCTAGTACGAATATTCCATAAATAAAATGAAAATTGTACTGATTATTTCACCTTCCAATAATATTACTCGTGTACAATTATGCGATCAATTATTTTTTCTATTGATCACACCATTCAATAAATAAAAAAAATATGGCCCAGTCATCCAGAAATTAAGGGTTTCATCTGCATTCAACAATTTCTTAGTTTAACTATTCTTTGTTTTGTTATTTTCACTTAAAATAATTTTTTTCTGCTACTTAAAACATTATTGAAGGTATGGAAACCATCATATCCCCATTTAGGTGATTCTTTTATTTTAGATCCCACCACGAAACTCGAATTTCCCTTGACCGTCCAGCAATTGTCCTGTTCACCCTATATAATTTTTTTTGAAATGCATAACTATTTTGTAGTAGCAACAATACATTCAAAAAACAATTCGTACCGGATCCATTTGACCCGGAGTGTGTTCGAGGGTTAATGGACACCGTAGATGCAGCTGGAATTATTTTAAACGCTTCTCTGAAGAATTTTAAAAACTTTACCTTGCTGACGAAACTCAACATTCTGGGCTGGTGGTTGAACTTCGTTATTTTCACTCCCAAAAACCTGTTGTTTCTGTGGTATGGCTTTGTAACAGATGGAACAAACTTGTACCATCCCCTGAGGACTAATGGGACTAGCTCCTGGTGGTGGTCTTAATGAACATATAAAGGGAAAGTACGCTTCTTTCTCGGGATTTGGACAGCAGTACAACAGTCTAATACTGGACGAGGGATACTCCAATGCACACGTGTAACAAACAAATGTCGCTGGCTCAACCGTTGGTGCTTGACGCTTACGAAGTGTGTAATTGCGATCACCGTGGGGTGTGCCCTGACGTGTGTACGCCTTCCACTGGAGCAATAGGTGATTTTGACATGCTGAGCAAGCCTGGAATAGCAATTTTTTCGTGCTAAGATTATTCAATTTTATCAATTCTTTGGATTGATTTTTTTTTTGCGAAAGTCACAGTCTTGGAAAATTTGTTCATTGAAGAATTGAACAGTTGAGGCGTTTAGTCACAATAATTGTCAATTATTAAAAGCCCCAGCTTCATCAATAATCACGTCGTGGAAGGAAATAGACGGCCAGAGCTTAATTTTGTATTAAAGCCGAGTCAATATGAGTTTATTTTTTAATTATTATCAATAAAAAAATTAATATTACTATCAAATAATATTATTAATATTATTATGTTATTATTATTAATATTATTATTTTATTTCAATAGTTGAATAAGTTTTATCTTTGTTTCACGAAATTGGAAGTTTGTGACAATTTAATATGACAAATTTGAGGCAGTACTACTGAAATTATGGATTGTTTGAGCCTGTAGTTGAAATGTAACGTTATTTTTCCTATACATTTTCTGTAGAAATTTTTCGAGATGAATTTTCCAAGTTTTTTCCACTCCATCTTCATTTCCTTTTCATTAAAAGAAACTTCACCCGAGGAAATTCTATAAAAAATATAGATAAAATCAGAAGAACTTCATCTTTCTACAGTTTTTTTTATTCACCCATTTTTTATGAGAATTACTCGATATAAATTTTCCAAATTAATTTCCCTCTTTATTTTTCTTCTCGCAACCCTTTATAAAATTACTCCAAAAAGCTTGAAAAAATTGAGTCGAAGAATTTTTACAGAAAACATTTCAGTGTATAGAATAATCGAATTCTACTGATTTTCTCCTATAGAATATTTTCCATTGGATATATGTATTCATTAAACTTGGAGATGAACTGCAGAATTTTTGAATAGAATTAGCCAAAAACTAATAAAAATCCAATACATGTTTTTATGAGGAAAAAAGTTATTCGTCTTTGGCCTTGCGGTCATCAGTGAAGAAATCAACATCAATTAATCACACGTGAAACTAGTTGACGTTTCGATCTCATTCGAGATCCTCTTCAGGACTTCCCACTCTTTATCAATCTGTGAGTAACAACACAATTATTTTTTATGATTTTTTGGCGAATTCGTCAGGTTTTTCTATGAAATCTTCTCATACGTGAAACAATCACAATATTTTTCAATTTTTGTGGGCTCTCAATCAATAAATTTTTCGTTCTCTCACCTGAACTCGACCAGCAGAATCCATGGGTCGACTTCTACTCGGTCTAGGGTGCAGCATCAATGACGGAAAAAATGGTGGAGGACTGCTGGATGGATGAGGCGATGTTGGCAGTGGTTTAGCTGCGATATGACTCAATGAACCCCTTTTAAATTCATCACCACAAACGTAACAAACTTCGGTGACTGAATTCTTGTCCGGCATTGATAAATCAAGGATATCAGTGCCAGCACTAGAAGACGAACCCCCACTGTACATGGCTGCAATTCAAAAACAAAAAAAATCATTTATCAATTAATTAAATATTTTCAGAAAATCTCGAGAGTATTTCCATCGCAGTTGACGCAATGAACAAAAAATCTGAGTCAAAACAATAATATTGTTGTATGCCCCTTCCCCTCTTGAATTTCCCGAAATATTCCTCATGAGAGACGTTAGAGGTTTAAAGTCACAAAGCAATTCATTTCTCAGTGTTTTTTTTGACAATTAATTTTCACTTATGTAAATTCACAATATCTTCTACTAAATAGTGCGATTTGCACGGTTTCATTTTGAAACTTGAAAAAATACTTTCGAAATGAAGAATGAAAAATGAAATAGATTAATTTCCCTCTGCAGATCTCGAGTTATTCGTGATTGAAAGCCCCTTCTACTGCTATTCTTTTTCATTCACGCTTTCAACTGAAATTTACTGTTTCATTTCTTGGTCTTTCATAATAAAAAGTGAATATTCAAACTTGTACGTTTGAAATACAACACTCGGTCGTAAGTTTATCACCGAATGTCCCTGATAATCAAACACGTGATCCCATCGACCCTAGGCCAAAGTGAAGCGAAAATAGATATAAGTAAAATCGTGGAAAAGAAAATCTATAAATTATAGCAACTCAATAAACCCGGGCTGAAAGTTAATTCGATAAGTTCTGCAATTCATTCCAATCAGTAATGCAACAACTTTTTTTTTATCCTCATTGTTTTTAATCTGTCGTGTCGTAACCTTTGGCCCACGAACGTTGACACTTGGGTCAGAATTTACTAAAGTTCAATGCAAATAAAAGTTGATCAGTTGATTGTTTGGGGCAAATATTGGCTCACAGATAAATAAACAAAACCGAGAGCCGATAAGAGATGTAAAAAACTACTGCGTCATTTGCAAACTTTGTTTCACGACTATCAGCAGCCTTCTTTTAGTTACGAAATAGTAAACATAATTATAATGATCGTATTGCATAACAGGAAGTGCAAGTTGTGATGTAAATTCTGAAGAAATTGAGGTTTTTACTATTTTCACTTCATTTGGGGGAAAATTTCTTCTTCAATTCCATAGATTTTTTCATAATTTTGACTGATTTCCTTTTGAAAATTAAATTCAATCATCATCTATTTTTTTTTGTTTTTTTTATATTCCGTTCCTTCATCCCGTTTTTTATTCCGTATATTTGTTTTTCCCAAATGCTCTTTCCAGATTTTGCAATCAATGTTTCTTCCCCGAGGTGTTCCCGCGCGGTCACCCATCCATCTAGTGACCACGCTCAGCGTTGCTTAGCTTCCCGAAGCTAAGCCTGCCAACTTTTTTTTTAACCATGTTTTTTATTCTTTTTCTACAGTAGGTATTTACAATATTTACAGCTATTTACATAAGAAAAACAGCTACATAAACAAAAATGAAATTTAGTATCTGGTGTTCGATAAACATTGGTCACTCTGTGACACTCGTATTCAATTTTTTATTGGGCTTTTTTTATAGATCTATTATTATTATAAGGTTTTAAACCTTTGCTCTGTTGTGGAGCTTTTTTGTTTTTTTTATGCGCTTGAAAAAAAAAGAAAAAGTTTGAGAAAAAAAAAGAAAAAAAATAAGTGTGTGTATAGTATAAAAAACAAGCGTAACTCAGGTAAGCCTGCCAACCACCGCAGGCCCCCGTAGGGCCTAAATTGAATCATCATTAATTCATAATTATACTATTTTTTACGAATCATCATAATTCTGAATTCGATTCAATAAATAGTCATCAATTGATTAGGAATTTTTTACTCATTTTCCCTTCCTTTTTTTCCCACTTTCTTCCAACTACGCCGATAATAACGAGTTCGAACTGACAACGCAACTGACCCTCGAGATAAAGGTCCAATTAAATTAAATACTCAACAGGTCAATTTCGATAATTAGATTTTCCTGTGTGTCTCCGGGAATCCCCTCTCCCCTCAAATGCGTTAAAAATACTTCATACGCGAGTTCAATAAACTTATTGATTTCGTCGGGGCAAAAGTGCCAAAATTATTAATACTTTAGCCCGACGAAACTCTCTTAAAATCAAACATGCAACTTCCACATTGCGGGCATTCGTCACACGATTAGAGAGAGAGGGGGGGCTGTAGTTGCGATGAAACGGGGGAGGGAGTTCCCTAAGTTGCGCAAATTAAGTTGTGCAAATGAAATTTTGTTCTCGTCCCCTCTCCTCACGAAAAAACCGAGGTTTCGCCAATTCTTCTAACTATCCTAAAGACTCATGAAATTTGTGATTGTTTTGTGTTAGTTTTTTCTCGAAAAGTCAATTTTATGAAAAAACTTTTGAAAAAAGCTATAACAGGGGGGGGGAGGTGTGGATTTTGTGACGCAATATACCAGGGGATTCCATGTTTGTAAAGATTTATGACGGGGGGAGGAGGACGTCTAAAAAAACAAAAAAAGCGTGTGACGTAATATTTGAATGGCTCCCCATATTCACCTGTGAAAATTTACACTCCCACACATAACTCGGCCTCACCTCGAATAGTTTTCTCAATACATCGTAAAATCATTTTACTGTAGAATATTCGTTCTTGATAATCACAAGAACTGGTGGAGCAAAGTAGGTCATCAAGTACCTCACGGAATGGGAAATTTCCCTGGCTGTCCAGTGACCCTATTATCACCCTATAATTCTTCCATCAATTTGTCCACTCATCCTGATCACCCCCAATATAATCGCAAATCACCGAAGTGAAAAGAAAAATATTCTTCACGAAAATTTGCGGTATTCGTAACTAATTGGTGCTTTTGAGTAATTAAACGCGAGGAAAATACCTTCGGCATTATTTCTATGATCAATTGATGAAACATTTAAAATTAAATAGTTGTTGAATAGTTGATGGAAAGATAATTCTAATTATTTCCTGATATATTTGTCATTCATTTTCTGAAATAGTCAAATAGTGAAATAAAATGGACAAACACTTTTCAGTTTCAGAAAAACAAATAAATGAATACTATTTGTCAGTCCAAAGAATGAACTTGAGTTTAGCTTATAATAGGTTTAAGCATGTAGGTTTATGGTGGTCAATAAAGGGCAATGCCAATACAGTTATTATTAGGATAAAAGAGCTTTGTATGGGGTGGAATGGAAGTTCTTTGTATCCCTTAGGGGAATCAAACGAAGGAACTATAAATAATCAACTTGACATAACTATTTGGAATTATATTTGAATATCATTTCCATAAATCAGAAATTACTTATTTTGTCTTACTACTGCTCCAAACCAACCCTTTACAAAATAAAATAATTCAAAATAGTTTTGATATTTTATTTACCCTAAACAGAATGAAGGAATGGGTCAGTGAAATGAACGACTCTTTATGTATCAGATTTTCGACTTGAGTTTGTCACCAACTTCTTTGTCACTTTGGAAGCAAATGAAGGAACTATAAATAATTAACTTGACATAACTATTTGGAATTATATTTGAATGTCATTTACATAAATAAAAAATGACTCATTCTGTCTTACTACTGCTCCAAACCAACCCTTTACAAAATAAAATAATTAAAAATAGCTTTGATATTTTCCCCAAAAATCATTTTTTCCTGAAAGTCTCAAGTGTTCAACGAAATTATCGAGAGGTTTCATTACTTCGGGTTCAACGATGTTAAACTAACCCAATTATTCATTCATCTTAAGGTCAAGTAGCTATTGAAAAAAATATTATCCAATCAGCCAAAATAATCAACTTTAAATAATTACATTGGAATTATGTTACAGTTATACCGTAGAGATTGAATGTTATAAACAACATGTACCAGAGTGTTTACATTCTTTTATTTACCCTAAGGAATGGGTCAGTGAAATGAACGACTCTTTATGTATCCGATTTTCGACTTGAGTTTGTCACCTACTTCTTTGTCACTTTGGAAGCAAATGAAGGAACTATAAATAATTAACTTGACATAACTATTTGGAATTGTATTTGAATGTCATTTACATAAATAAAAAATGACTCATTTTGTCTTACTACTGCTCCAACCCAACCCTTTACAAAATAAAATAATTAAAAATAGCTTTGATATTTTCCAGAAAAATCATTTTTTCCTGAAATTCTCAAATATTCAACGAAATTATCGAGAGGTTTCATTACTTCGGGTTCAACGATGTTAAACTAACCCAATTATTCATTCATCTTAAGGTCAAGTAGCTATTGAAAAAAATATTATCCAATCAGCCAAAATAATCAACTTTAAATAATTACATTGGAATTATGTTACAGTTATACCGTAGAGATTGAATGTTATAAACAACATGTACCAGAGTGTTTACATTCTTTTATTTACCCTAAATGAAGGAATGGGTCAGTGAAATGAACGACTCTTTATGTATCCGATTTTCGACTTGAGTTCGTCACCAACTTCTTTGTCACTTTGGAAGCAAATGAAGGAACTATAAATAATTAACTTGACATAACTATTTGGAATTGTATTTGAATGTCATTTACATAAATAAAAAATGACTCATTTCGTCTTACTACTGCTCCAACGAAACCCTTTACAAAATAAAATAATTAAAAATAGCTTTGATGTTTTCCCCAAAAATCATTTTTTCCTGAAATTCTCAAATATTCAACGAAATTATCGAGAGGTTTCATTACTTCGGGTTCAACGATGTTAAACTAACCCAATTATTCATTCATCTTAAGGTCAAGTAGCTATTGAAAAAAATATTATCCAATCAGCCAAAATAATCAACTTTAAATAATTACATTGGAATTATGTTACAGTTATACCGTAGAGATTGAATGTTATAAACAACATGTACCAGAGTGTTTACATTCTTTTATTTACCCTAAATGAAGGAATGGGTCAGTGAAATGAACGACTCTTTATGTATCCGATTTTCGACTTGAGTTCGTCACCAACTTCTTTGTCACTTTGGAAGCAAATGAAGGAACTATAAATAAACAACACACGTTGGTAAACAACGTGTACCAGAGTGTTTACATTCTTTTATTTACCCAAAACAGAATGAAGGAATGGATCAGTGAAATGAACGACTCTTTATGTATCAGATTTTCGACTCGAGCTTGCCGTCAACTTCTTCGTGTCCTTCTCAGTCTCTCGTAGAGTATCAATGAGTAAACGCATGCCTTTCAATTAATAAAGTTACTAACATCAAAGAATTACCAGAGAGTGTTCCCATTTATCCCGATAATCCCAACAAATTATTTAAACTGACTCGTCTCGCCTCACATAATTTACAAAATAACCCACATTACCTTGCGCCTGTGACTGTAAATTAGCAGGCTGTGGTGCAGGTGAGCTCCTGGGTGCATGCCTGAGATCCAAAGCAGCCTCACTGCTTCCCCTGTTTTCCTCCCCAACATTCCTAGGACTCTGTATTCTCTGATGTGGCGATTCCATAGTCAACCTAACTTGTTCAATATGCCTAGCATTATCCTGATGGATTCTAGCATCAGAGCTAGACGATGGTCGTGTTTGTTCAGCCCTAGGTGATGGTGAATTTTGTGGTAATCTTGGTGATATACCAAGTGGCCTCGATCCCTCCTGCTTTCCCTGAACACTTGTTTCATTTGTCAATCCAATGACTTGTGCAGCGTACTCCCCCTGGAGTGTCATCTCTGCACCAGTGTATGGCCCACCATCGCAACGTTTCATCCAGTATATCCTCTGGCCATGGGGCTTTGTCTCTCTCTCGAAGCTCTCCCATTGTTGCAACAATAATGCATAACACAAACTGCACGATCTAACAGCGCCACTTCGTGCACTCTCACCACGATAGCCAATTGGTGGCTCGTGGGACTCTAAAAATGGAAAATAAGGCTCTGATGGTGGTCCACCTGGTGTTGGCTTGACTCTCAACCAGTACTGATCACTGTGACCCAGGGTACCACACACAAAACACACACGACCACTGCGATCATCCTGGGACAATTGGTGCTGGAGTGAATTCAAATGGCTGCTTGGTGCTTCAATTCCTGGCTCATTCTTCACGTACAACTTGCTTTCCATCATGTCAGGAAATCATTTGGTGGGGGGATTTGTATTGTACCAGGGGATTCTTGTGGCTGAGTTTGAGGAGTTACTGGCGAGGGGCTGATTCGGGATGATTATGATTCAGTGACTAATTGCACATTGGCTCTTTGGGGTAGTTCTTACGCTTGCGATGGCACATCCAATGGGAATCTGCAATTTTTTTCAGATTTTGTTAGTTGAGATTAGACGATTTTAGTGGAATTGATTTATGGCTTTTATTTATTTTGATGACAAGTTATTATTGGGAAATGTCAAGACTGTTTATCTATGAACGCTTTTTTTCGCCCCTAAAGTCACTCGTTATTGAAATCAGTTGACGTTCAACGAAATGGAAAAGTCTAGTTTTTATGCTTCAACAATCTAGTGGTGAATTTTTATCAGCAAACAATAGTGACAAGACTGGGGTATCTAATGCGACGAAATGAAAGGGAAAAATGCATGAGGAACTTCACACACATCTGAATCCACAGGGGCATGCAGCAGAGAACCGGTCATAGGTAAAGTAAAGGAAATCTACATTTTTCACATGCAAATTGTTTTTCATAGTGCTACGAGATAATTTGGTTGAGTTTTAGGGAAAAATGGCGAGGGCTTTATTAGTTTTCATTCGATTATGTTGATGACTTAAATTAATTGTTTATTCATTTTGAGAACTCTTTTCGCAGTTGAAAAAATTTCAACCAAAAAATGGTTTCTGATATTTTCCTCCAAAATCATTCAACAGGAAATCTACTAGCCATATAGGCATATTGCCACACCACTGAATTTTCATCAGTAAACACAACTAAGCAAACTAATGAACATAATCCAACCAAGAGAACGGGAAAAAATCATGAGGAACTATCATACATATCTGAATTCACAGGGGATTGCTTCAAAGAACCGGTCATAGGTTAGAGGAAAAAATCTAGATTTTTCACATAAAAGTTGCGTTTCACAGTGCTACAAAATTATTTTAGTGGGTGTTAGGGGAAAATCTCGAAGTCTTTATTAGTAATTGTTTAATCATCTTGAGAACAAGTGGCTATTGGCAAAAATGTCGAAAATGTTAAATGTCCGAGGTGAGAACATTTCCACCAAAAAATGGCTTCTGATATTTTCCTCGAAAATCATTCATCATTCACCGAAATCAAGAAATCCACTTGCCACAAATGATCATACTCCGGAATTTCCATGAGTAAACAAAACTGAACAAACTAATCACTCTAATCCGACCAGAAGAACGAAAAAAAAATCATGAACTATCACACATCTGAATTCACAGAGGATTACTGCAGAGAACTGGTCATAGGTTAAAGTAAAAAAAATCTACATTTTTCACATACAAGTTGCTGCTCATTGAGATCATTAGGATGAGTTTCAGGGGAAAATGTCGAGATCTTTATTACTAATTGTTTATTCATCTTGACGATCAAGTGGCTATTGGCAAAAACGCCAAAGCTCTTTTCCCCGTTGAGAAAATTTCCCCAAAAATGGCTTCTGCTATTTTCCCCGAAAATCATTCAACATTCACCGAAATCAAGAAATCCACTTGCCACAAATGATCACACTCCGGAATTTCCATGAGTAAACAAAACTGAACAAACTAATCACTCTAATCCGACCAGAAGAACGAAAAAAAAATCATGAACTATCACACATCTGAATTCACAGATGATTACTGCAGAGAACTGGTCATAGGTTAAAGTAAAAAAATCTACATTTTTCACATACAAGTTGCTTCTCATATAGATCATTAGGATGAGTTTCAGGGGAAAATGTCGAGATCTTTATTACTAATTGTTTATTCATCTTGACGATCAAGTGGCTATTGGCAAAAACGCCAAAGCTCTTTTCCCCGTTGAGAAAATTTCCCCAAAAATGGCTTCTGCTATTTTCCCCGAAAATCATTCAACATTCACCGAAATCAAGAAATCCACTTGCCACAAATGATCACACTCCGGAATTTCCACGAGTAAACAAAACTGAGCAAACTAATCACTCTAATCCGACCAGAAGAACGAAAAAAAAATCATGAACTATCACACATCTGAATTCACAGAGGATTACTGCAGAGAACGGGTCATAGGTTAAAGTAAAAAAATCTACATTTTTCACATACAAGTTGCTGCTCATTGAGATCATTAGGATGAGTTTCAGGGGAAAATGTCGAGATCTTTATTACTAATTGTTTATTCATCTTGACGATCAAGTGGCTATTGGCAAAAACGCCAAAGCTCTTTTCCCCGTTGAGAAAATTTCCCCAAAAATGGCTTCTGCTATTTTCCCCGAAAATCATTCAACATTCACCGAAATCAAGAAATCCACTTGCCACAAATGATCACACTCCGGAATTTCCACGAGTAAACAAAACTGAGCAAACTAATCACTCTAATCCGACCAGAAGAACGAAAAAAAAATCATGAGGAACTATCACACATATCTGAATTCACAGGGGAATGCTTCAAAGAACCGGTCATAGGTTAAAGTAAAGAGGGTCGAGGTTATCGCGGTTTGAGCATTGGGGAGAAAAAAAAATGAGAAACAGGATTAAAAAAAGTCCATTGGGGTTAAAACCTGGAGGCCTAATCACAGACGGAAACTTCACTGATCCCTCAGATGCTCCGTAAAGCCACGGGCGGTCAATTTTATTTCTCCCAAATTTCTAAAACTCGATTCGGAGCTGGCGATAAACGCCGAGATGATTCAGGTAAAACCGTGGAATTTTTCATACTATTTTTCAACTGATGAAGGGCTCGAGATGTACGAGAAGTGCGCTGGGTCTGGCTGGGTCTCACGGGCGAAATAAAATGGGATCGGGAGAGGCTCGAGGGTTTTCACGGTGGATTGGAAAAATATATAATTAAATGGCTGTACCGGAGGGGCACCTCGCTGAAGCCTCTTATCGTTTCCTCTCTAGTCTCTGCCATACGTTCTCATGCACCACACCGAGCTCTCGGGTGTCACCTTCGTTGTTACGTTCCACGTCATCGTGAATTTATTATTTTAACACACATTTATTTGTCACTTCACCACATTAATTAATTAGTTTGATGATTTATTTATCGGGCTACTTGGGGGTGTAAGTGGGATGGTATATTTATTGGTTTTTATTTTGGATAATCTATAAACTAGTCAATGTACATAACGGATGCTACAGCGCGGCGACTTTGTGCTCAGACCACCGCCATTTTGAAAAATTACAATTGGACCAGCCCCCTCCCCTGAGCCGCCTGACACTCAACGTATTTCTCCTACTAGCGCCGCCGCGCTCGCGACGGTGATGCCTATTCATTGTGCCCTTTTTTTTCTGTCAATTTTCGATTTTTCAAAAATCATTATTTGTCATCAGCCCCGTTGTGCAAAGCGATGCAATGAAAGAAAATAATTTGTGTTTATTTGTCATTAGTTTAACTTCAATGAATATTCGGTTAAGCTGGAATTTCTAGGCTCCCTGAATAAGATTGGAATTATCATTAAAATAAATTTATTTAAATTCCTTTAGTTATTATCGAACGCAATACAAGGAGTTAATTGAATAGATTCATGTTCTTTGACATTCGGCTGAGAGTGACCCGCGCATTTTATTCTCTTCACATTTTAATTATTTTTATTTCATTCTTTACTATACTACACGGATGAAAAAAATTGATAGAAAAACCTAGCGAATTCGTTGGAAAATTCTATTGGATTTCTATTAGTTTTTGGCAGATTCAATTGAAATTTTCAGGAAAAATATTCTATAGATAAAATCAATAGAATTAGATTTGGCTATATGAGTTATTCTCTTCCGATATTTTAACTACATTTTTTCATTTTTTTCATTCTATGTTTCTTTTCTTTTCATCAAGAAAATCTAATAAATAATAATATTTATTTGCAAAAGGTATGGCCTTCAGGCCTTTTACACTCCCTTCCCAACAATAAGCCGAAGTAGTATCGGTAACCTTATCGAATAATCATACATATCCCATGCAACAAAGTTTTACAGATTCTTCCACGTCTAGAGCTTACAAAAAGGTATTCGTATAGCTGAAGAAAATCTAAGAAAAAAACTTGAAAAATTTGAGCTTGGGAAATTCTACAGAAAATATCTTAATAAAATTAGTTGTTTAGAAGAATCGAATTCTTTTGACTTTTTCTACATAATATTTGCTATCGAATATTTCAATAGAATCGGCCAAAAACTAATAGAAAGTTCATTAAAAATCCAATGGAATTGTTTAGCGAATCCGTTAGGTTTTTCTATTAATTTTTTTGTTCTTGTCATTAACATCCAATGTTATTAACAACCACAAAAAAATTCGCAAATTCTATCATTTTATTTTTTCCATTTAATCGAATGTTATTTCTCTATATAACTTATTCTATTGAGATATTTTCAGTATGAATTCCTACGCTGAAAGTCACCAAGTTTTTTTGTTTGATTTTTTGAGAGAAAGGACAAAAAGAAGGTGAAAAAAACGTAACAAATTTATTCCATGAATTCCTATATAAAATATGCCAATAGAAAAAGTCGCATGGAAAGATCAAATTCTACTGATTTTTCCCATAGAAAAACTCCTATTAAACGTTTTCTGATAAAAAAAACTTGCGCAAAAACTATGGAATTTCTCAATAGAATGGGCAACAAACTAAACAAATTTTCAATAAAAGTTCAATTAAAATCCAACAAATTTTTGTACTGTATTTTGTACTGTTGGGTTTTTCTATTAAAATTTTCCATTTGAGTCGCTCTGCATAAATCTAATATCCAACCCGAGAGATACAAATAACACGCATGACAATTTTGAAGAAAAAAACTTAATCTTTTCTCTAAGAAATTTAATATTGAGATTCAATCAAAAATTTTGACTTTTGCAATAAGTTACACAGTTTTATGAAAAAAGTGTGTACTCATATGAAAAAAAGTTATTCATGACAACTGCCACTCCAAATCCCTAATGCGGATTCGCCTAAAATTTTCTCATCAGAATTAAAGGAGGTGCCGGGGGGGTGGGGTCGTCTGTACAATCTCAGTGGACACATTGCGTTTTGGACACGTTCTAGGGAAAATGGCGGCAGTACGGGAGGCGGTGGAACGGATGGACACGGAAATTTGTGGTCACATTCGCAGCTGGGCAGATTCTGATGGGGTGGCTGAACAGGGCTCAATATTGCAGATATCCTATGAAACGGACATCGGAAGGTCTTACCGATCGAATTTTCTAGTGCAGTGGCACGTTGAGAGATGGCGGGATTATTCTAATTTGAAGCGGAATTAGAAACTAATCAAGCTAGGGCAATAGGTTGTCAGCCGGAAACTATTATTTTTAACCACATGACGATGGTAAATCAGTGGCAATTTGTTAGCGGGTGAATGTAAAGCATTTTTCAGTGTTTAAGGATTACTCAATTCATTAGATATTTAAAAAAAGTAACGACGTATTAATTAAAAATCAACGTTCACTCGGTAAAAAACTTCGATTTTGGCGAAAGTCGACTTTCCCCCCGAATAAAGCCTAAATATGGCACTTCGGCTTCTGGTGGAAAAATTTTTTTTTTTTATTTCTGCATTTCTGGGGCAAGTGAGGGTCTCAGTGGCATTACCCGAGTCGAGGATTTGGTTCTGATTGGACGTACACAGGTCTGTCAAGATCTGTCCAGACCTAGATAGACCTGGTAAGCCCTAATCAGTTCTGCGACGTAATTTTCCAGAGACCTTTCGAATCCTCAGTTCTTTTCGGTCCTGAGAAGTCCTCCTCGATGCTACCGAGAACGCGTGATTTTACGAGCGAATGATGGGGAAGGCATGTATGCGGAGGGTTGAAATTTGTAGCCAACGAGGAGACAGGGTTGCAGAATATATTTCAGCCACCCCCATCTCCCCGTTTTCAGGCGGTGTTTGAATAAAAAATGGTGAACATTGATTCTGTATTTATTGACCCCCTGATGCCAATGAAACCCTCGGAGGTGACAAAAGGGGAAAAAAAATTTTTCATTTTTACGTGGGTCAAGGGAGAAAGTCGGTTTTCGCCAAAATTGAATTTTCTGTACTGCTTCTCACGATTTCTCGTCTGGGAATTGGTTTTACATACTTCCCAAACTTGAAAACTTGAAAATCACTACAGAAAAATATTGTTCCTGGGCTGTTGCGATGGGATTTTTTTAGTCGTGTGGTTGGCCAGTCCTCGCCTACGGCCGGAGGCCAACGGCACACGAGTAAAAAACACCATCGCAACAGGCCGGAAAAATACTATTTTTCGCCAAGTGAAAGTTGATTCTGTATTTTCTAACAATTCTGATGCCAATGAAACCCCCGAAGGCGCGAGAAAAGTCGAAATAATTTGTTTTTTTCACCCCGAGCCAAAGAGTCAGATTTTCTGTTTTTCCAGAGGGAAAGTCGACTTTCGCCAAAATCGAATTTTTTAGTCGGGCGAGTGTTGATTCCAACTATTTAAGCGACGGGCTATTCAGAACTCTCAAAAGTATGTGGAAAAAGTGAGAACTGAAAAAGTTTTTTTTTTCAAATTTTCAAAGGGTCAGATCTTCCGTTTTTCCCGGGGGAAAGTCGACTTTCGCCAAAATCGAATTTTTTAGCCGGGTGAACGTTGATTCCAACTATTTAAGCGACGGGCTATTTAGAACTCTCAAAAGTATGTGGAAAAAGTGAAAACTGAAAAAAAAATATTTTTTCACCGGGGGCCACGGTCAGATTTTCGGTTTTTACTTGGAACAATGGTCAGATTTGTTAACACTTTCATTTTTTATTTGGATAATGCATGCAAGCGTAAGGACAAGAGTGGCTAGAATAGATTCTGCAACCTTCTCCCCTTGTTGGGTAAAAATGTCAAGCCTCCACATACATGCATCTCCCCTCCACCCTCCCGTGAAATGTCGATTTTCTAGATTAAAAAAAAAAACAATAATTGCATTTTTTATTTCAATAACGCATGAGTAAACAGGGATATGAACGCAGATTTAATATAGGCCCATAGCATTACGGGGACCGGCAAGGATTTGGAAAGTCTGAATACAAGTCCCGCTTACACCTAACAAGTTCTGAAATGGGACACAACCAGAGGTAGAAAGGTCTCGGAAGCACTTGGGAAGAGGCTTCCCAAGACCTATCCAGTTCTGAACGGAAAGACCTAAGTAGAACTTGTCAGGTCCAATTATTCGACTCGGGTAGGCGGGCCAGAAAATACAGAATCGACGTTCACTCGGCGGAAAAATTCGATTTTGCCGAAAGTCGACTTTCCCCGGAAAAAATCCAAGAACTGACAGTTTCGCCCCGGGTGAAAAAAATGTTTTTGTTTCTTACTTTTTCTAGATACTTTTGAGAGATCTGGATAGCCCGTCGCTTGAAACATCGGAATCAACGTCCACTCGGCGAAAAAATTCCAAGATTTGACCCCGTGACCCCAGGTGAAAATGAAAAGTTTTTATTTCGACATTTCTTGCGCCTCCGAGTGTGCGCAAAAAATTCACCCATAATTGATGATTATCCTTCAAAAGATCGCCGTCATTTTTAAATGCACCGTACAAAGTGTTTCTCCGCTCGCTAACAGCTCATTTATTTCTCCAGTGGCTGATTCAACTTATTATATACTGTTGCCCGATGGCCAGTTCTGTTCAGTTAGTAATTCCGCTTAAAATGAGAATCATCCCGCCATATTTCACCGTGCCGCTGCGCAAAAAATGTCTACTGGTAAGACATTTCCTGAAAACATCTCCAATACCGAGCCCTGTTTAACCACTCGATCAGAATCTGCCCATCCGGGAATGTGTCCAGAAATGTCCATGCCCATCTGCTCCACCGCTTTCCGCACTGTCGCCATTTTCCCTAGAACGTGTCCAAAACGGATTGTCACGGAATGACAACCTCTCCCTCCCGCCCCTCGCCATGTTCCACGGCAGTGCTTTCTTTTTTTTCGATAGAAATGAGTTTTCGGTCAATTCACGAACTAATGGCGCCAGGTGGTCACCCACTTTTCAATGGATCAGACAAGGATAGGATGCAGCCCACCATCTTTCAATGCCTTTGGCAAATGGAGTGGATGACACCCTGCTGTCATCTGTTTCAGTCTTGATATAACTCCTGAGCAGACAACTAGATATTTAGGGTTCCTAGACAAGTCGCCATTTTTCCTAGATTTTAGTGGAAATTTGAATGTAAAATGACTGTTAGCGAGATTCATCGATATTTTTAGAAACTAAATTAATCGGGAGTCATGTCATTTTACGTCACTCAAATTATCAAGAGGTTCAACGGATTCGTGAGGCCTTTCATGAAGTAATTTCCCCACAGCTCTATCTTTCCAGCCACATGTTCGTTTTCCCCGAGTAAATTGTCGCGATCTGACTTTTGGAAATATTCCCTCGCTTTTTTTTACGGTTTTAATCCCATTTTGAGCTAGTTACCGACCCTTGCAAGTTTACTTATTTCGCTGGGATGTATGAGTTATAAAATCTATTCATGTCGGGCCAGATCCCGGTTGATTTATTTTTGCTCAAATATTTAGAGAAGTTTTTGCTTTCCTTTTGGTTTCCGGCACATCCTTCCGTTCCTCGAGGGAACGGATCATGACGACATGACGAGGCATTTATGACGGCTATCACAACAACAATATAACAGTCATTTTAATGTGTAATGTATTTCTAATGTGCAGTTTGAAGCGAAAATCACGATCATTTTTCATCTCTGTAAATGCCCCCATCAAAAAATATATATGGGCCAATTCCATATATTTTCCAAATTTATAAAACATAAAACATATATTTTACATATTTTTTTTATATAAATTGGGCCAATTTAATATATTTTTTCCCACATTTCTCAAAATATAAATTTTCCAGGTGGGTGAAACTATTTTGTTCTATTTATGACCGTCACAAATTAGAAATTAATTATGACCGTCATTATGCATCTATATAGATGTTTTTACAATGATAATCACAAATAATTTGTGACCATCATTAGAAGTTGAAAAATTTGTGCGTCACATGACCGTCATTTTTGGTCACATGACGCGGTCTAAAAAATGACGGTCATGTGACGCACAAATTTTTTGGGATCAGGTCGTTTCGTCTGCCTCTCAAATGCAAAAAAACACGCCGAAAAACTCGTCAATTATGTCTAGAGATGTAAAATTACCGTCATTTTTGAGACCGCGTCATGTGACCAAACATGACGGTCATTTTACATATCTAGACATAATTAACCAGTTTTTCGGCCAATTCACGAACTAATGGCGCCAGCTGGCCACTCACTTATCAATGGATCAGACAAGGATAGCCTGCATCTGACCTCTTTGTTCAACGCCTTGAGTAAATGGACTGTATGACGCCCTGCTGCCATCTGTTTCAGTTTTACAAAAATTCCCTAATAAAATCTCCACACAATCCCGGAACACCGTGAACCCACCAACACTCGCTCCGTGCTTTATCAAGCATATATCGATTTATTTAAGCACGTTGGTGATAAGAGCGTGCGACAGCCGACAGGTGATTGGATCACATCGTTTCGTCTACCTCTCAAATGCACAAATATAGAAGTAATAAATCGCTCAAAAAATTATCGCAAGAATGAAGGAACAGTGCAGATTGGCAACAATAGTAGTGACAGTGGCCCTATTGTTGCAAAAGTCACAATGTTACAGTGTCGAGAGATATTCTCTCCTGATGCCAGATGTCAAGCCCAATATTGTACGTAAATTGCGAGGAGGTGAGTACGAAATCGAAATCCTAAATTTCTACTGATTTTACGATTATTTCGATTCAGCCCGAGTTGTACTTGTGCACACCTGTCAAAATGAACTCGACGTCGAGTTATTATATTGTTGGATTTGAACCCAATGCGACGATGAATACGGCCCACCATATGATTCTTTATGGGTGTAAAAAACCCGGTGCTGCAAAGCCCGTCTGGAACTGCGGAGAAATGTCACAATCCAGTAATGATCTGGACACTGCTGGACCCTGCAGCGATGGGTCTGAGGTACATATATTCTTACGCTACTCCTTCGAATCCTATTTCAATTGTCTATCATCTGGAAGATTGCAAGAAGAAACTGTTTTTTTCGATAACATCGATATTTGTGTGGAGGTTTGAACAATTACGTCACGCTTTTTTGAAATTCCCCTCCCGCCCCTCGCCCCTCTTTCCGCAATAGGCGGTCACAAACGCAAAACCCCCCTGATATATGACGTCACGATATCACGCCCCCCCTCCTAAAAAAATTAAAGGATAAAATAGGAATTGAAAAAAAATCAGGGAATCAAGAAATATGATTAATTCTGCACGTGGACACGACTGCTTTATTTTCCCTGCCTCGGTAGGAAATATACTATTTTTCAGTTGTTCGCTAATCAATGGATGGAATTGAAATTTTTTAAAAAATAAGGTATATTTATATCAGTCGCCGTTAACCCATTACTTCCCGTAAGTCTCGAATAGTTTCGGTGTGAGAGGAGTGGGGGTCCGTCCGAGCATTAGAGCGCCATAAGAGAAGTACGCTGGCGCACGCACGCCACTACAAAACTGCGAAAAGTGGGGTACCGTGAGACGAAGCAAAGGGTTAATTAAAATTTAATTCATCGATTAAATTTTTTTATTTTCGATTTTTTTCGAAAATCGGTTGTACCACGATAACCAAAAAAAGGTCTGAATTGATTGAATGATGGCTTAAAGTATGTATTTGGATGTCCTTTTGACTGAGTTGGAAGATGAAGGTGATAGCAGTAATCGTTATTTTGATTTATTTGAAAATTCGCAAAAATTTTGCATTTTTTGAAAATTAGAATGCCGATCTTATCTTTGAATATCATGCTGCAAATGAATTCAATCATAGCTTAAAGTATCCATTTTAATGCCATTAAGTCGAAGTTAAAAGATGATTACTGGAGCCATATTGGTTGATTTGATTTTTATGGTGATTATTGCAAATTTCAAAATCCCTGCAAATGAGCATTCCGATGGTTTTTTGAAATGTGCTGTTTCAAATTAATTCAAGTATATATAAATAGAATTCGTCTCTTAACAATGCATTATACATGATAGAGGGAAATTATATGTAAAATAACCATTCGGAAGCAAATTGTTATTTTATTATCAAAAATAACTACACTATATGCAATACAAGAGCAATTTCCCACATGTCTTCGTGAATTGATGAGAAAATAAAAATATGAGCGTGACGTCACAACCTGCGCGACCCCCCTCCCGCCTCTCCGCCGCGCATCGTCACAACATTCTCTTGAAGGGGGGGAGGGATCTCCCCCCCCCCTTCATCACGTGACGTTATTGTTGAATGCTCCCCGTGATCCTCTGTTGAGATCTAATGGAAGACTCATCTTCGTGTACACCCTTTTAACTATTATTAACCCTCTGAGATGAATGGGCGTCTTCCCCACTCTTCGCCCTCTCGGAGAGGCGTAGCCTACACAGCGTAGTGGGAGCCGCGAGGTCAGTGTCGGCTCAACAGGGCTTCGAACAGAATAAATCAATAGGGAACTTGCCTGGAGTTTAGTTTTCCCCAATTTCTCCACTCACCCATTCTACATAACCCATAGATAGCTGAACAAAAACGATTATGGAGAAATATTGTCTAGATATTTTATAATAGTTAGGGGAGGGTGTGCCTGTACCGCCCACCTAAGGGGAAATGCCAGTTTTATATTTTATATTTCAACTTGAGTATAAATAACGTATTTGTGAGACTTCTTTAACTATTGAACTCGTTATTCTCGAAGTGTAGACGCCTAATTCTCCTTAGAATCCACAAAATTGATTGAAAATAAAAGAGAGAGCCTATTGAGCGGTACTACCCGCCGTCGGGTAATACCGCTCGGCACGATTCCAATGCCGCTCATAGGGTTTTGCGTGTATCGCTCGCGCCGCAACCTAACCTGTACTCGAGTGCTATCGAGCAACTACGTGGCCGATCCTATGAGCGGTATTACCGGCTCCGCTCGGCGTCAACAAAATTGTTGATAATTATTGACATGAGTGGAGTTTTGAGTTCGAATTGGTCTCAAATTACGCGTGAAAGTACCACGAATCGAATAACCACAGTTTAATATGAGAATTCAGCGTTTGAAACTATCAAAAACCTTAATTAGAAGTCCACAAATTTTACACTGTAAAGACCTCAAAACTTCGCTACGTGTTTTTTCATATTTAAAATGGTAAATAAAGTGAAATTTTTCCGACAATCACATCCTATCATCAAATTCTTCATGATCAGGAACAGAAAGAAATTTTAAAGTTGATGGTTGTGGAGAAAATCGGATGAGCGGTATTACCCGCTGAGCAGTACAGGCATACCCTCCCCTAATTAAAAATCAGGCGCTGTTGAAACCTATTATTTCGGTCATGACGACACAAAGCGGCATAAGTAATGCCGGCAAGCGCTCCATTGGTCAAATGTGAGGAGAGAGAGGGGTTGGCGCCATCCATTGGATAAGGCGCACGTGAAGATTGGGTTGGGTCGGCTCGAGCCCTGCTGCGATTGGTCCAGCGCTCTACCGCCCTTGTGTCGTCATTAACAATTTCAAAGTGTTGGAAATCTTCAGCTTTCAATAATCAATTATTAATTAATGAGCGATATTTATAATGTTTATGCATGAAAAATTAATCATTCAAGGCCGAAACTTGGGATTACAGAATTTAAAAAAATCATGCGAGTGCTCTATTCTCACCGTACGGGGGAACTGTGTTAACTATTAACGAATGGTAGAGTTGAATATGACCAAATGAATATTCGTTAATAGTTAACGAATGGTTCACTTGAATGGTCAAGTCAAACAAGGCTCCTCAAATATACATTCGTTAACTATTAACGAATGAACATTTGGTGGGACCGAATAGACCCTAACCTCCAACCAAAATCCATTCGTTAACAATAACTAATCCGTTCCATCAGTGTGGAATTCAAAGATTGTTCCTGAAAACCACAACTTTTTTCCTATCTCCATAAATTTCCTTGTTAACTGATCGACTGACGCAATAACTTGCTTTCCCTGCATCATCTCCTCAGATTTTGTACGCGTGGGCGAGAGACGCTCCTGACCTAATCCTCCCAGAGGGAGTGGGTTTCAAAGTCGGTGGTGACTCTCCAATAGAATACCTAGTTCTCCAAGTCCACTACGCGCACGTGGATCACTTCAGGGGTGGAAAAACCGATGATTCCGGTATATTTCTGCGGTACACGAGGCAACCAATGAGTAAGCTCGCTGGTGTCTTCGTCCTGGGCACAGCTGGTGGGATACCAGCGTGGAAGGCTGAGAAGATGGAGACAGCTTGCACCCTCAAGGAGAACAAAACTATTCATCCGATCGCTTATCGAACGCACACACATTCTCTCGGGAAAGTTGTCGCGGGATATGTTATCAGAAATAATTCGTGGGTGGAGCTCGGCAAGAGGGATCCATTGACTCCACAGATGTTCTATCCTGTTCACAATAACATGCCCATCACTAAGGGCGACACACTGGCTGCAAGGTGCACAATGCAGAGCAATCGGCCCAGGTGGACGAGCATTGGATCAACTGGTGCAGACGAAATGTGCAATTTTTATTTGATGTATTATGTGGACAGTGGGGAGCCTCTCAACATGAAGTACTGCTTCAGTGAAGGACCACCTGCGTATTACTGGAAGTCTGCTGGTTTTGTTAATATACCTGATATCGAGGCATCATCATTGTAAATTAATTCGTCGGGCTTGTGATAGCACGTAAGAAATTGAAACGAAAAATCTGAGGCTTTTTTTGAAAGTTATATTGAATTGGATTTTGTTGAAATTCTTTCAATAATATTTTACTGAAAAATGTCGATGGATTTTCATTTTTCTTCTGAAATTCTTGGACATGAATTTTGCGAGTTTTTTTCGCTGTATTTTCTTTTGTTTCTCATGATGAAATCACGAAGGAAATAAGTTTCGGATTTCCAGCACTACACGGAGAGAAATTTTTTAGAAAAATTCTAGTGCTAGCACGGGAAAAGAGGCGCAAAGTGACGGCCAGGAAAAATTCCAGTGCCGGCACTAGAAATTTTATCGGGGAAAACGCGAATTTCCCCGCATTTAAACGTGTTTCCCCGCGTTTTCCAACGGTTCGAAGTTTAAATAATTAAATCATTGTAAAATGTCCGGGAAATTGGGGTCAAATGGGGCTAAAATGAAAGCTCTGGTGTTCCACTATAAAAGTAGAAAACCATTTCACTTGAGAAAAAATAACTAAAGTGCTTGAATATTCTGAAGTACCAGGGTTCTTGATTTTAGTGAAAATTACTGAGAACTGGAACTTTTTCTCGGATTCTCAGCCGACATAAAATCGTAATGTAGTTACTTTTTACGTCACAAACCAACTAATAATTTTCAATCAATTTAAATTATTACATTATCAATCAGTAATCGTCAGTAAAGAATGACGATTACTCAGATAATATACAATAAGTTTTTTTAATTTACCATTGATCCGTTACTTTCAATTTAAAATTTTGCAAATGTTGCACTCTTTTAAAAATTGGGATTGAACGGACATAATTCATTTTGTTGGAGCACTTTTCTACCGAAATGTAAGTTTCCTTGATTCTTTTCCTGGCGATGTTGAGGGTCTCGAGTTTTAAGGTGACGATACCGTTTTCGGGACTAAATAAAAACTACCTACTTGGGGTTTTTGTAGTATTAAGGATAATTTATGGAGTGTTGAAAGTAATTTTGGAAATTTAGAAAAAGCTCATGAGGATTATTCTGCAAATATCTTGGGAAATTACGTCAGAATGTTTCCACAGGACATGAATTCATACGCACACAGCATTCTGTGATGAGTACTGTTCTGAGCTCCCTCCTTGCCGAGGTATTTACAGAATAATCAAGAGCACTTACTTTGAAGTTGTCTACACTGTTAAAAAAATTTGGCTGAATTTTCCGGAAAAAAACCTTCAATTCGATGTAAGAGAAGAAAGTCAATGGAATTTCATGTTTCTCTGAAAATTCCAGTAAAGTCTAATTTTTTTAGCGGCAGGAAGACGGAAATTCCACCATTTGCATGAATTTTCAAGTGAAAATGAATATTCACTGTCAAAATCTCTTGAATTTTGAGAGAATTCCGTTAAAATTCTTAGAACTCCCGGAATCTTTGAAGGAAATTGCCTGAACATTCAGATGAACCATGAATTCAAGGAGAGATTTCTCTGAATTATTCTGATTTTGAATTAATTAATTTTTCCTGATGAATTAAACTGGAATTTACAGTTCCCACGATTTTTTCCGAGAAGTGATGAATTCTCACTGACAAAATTCCTTGAAATTTCAGTGGAAATGTTAGTTGTTAGAAATTACAAAGACTTTTATAGAAAATTTCAGTGAGAAATTTTTAACAGTGTAGTTCTCTACTGCATCACTGAATTGCAGTCAATGGCGTAATTTATTTTCAACAATTTTGAACTGATGGTAGATTAGGAAATGGTCGATACCAATGCTGAATCAATTCCCTGCGGGGGAAAGGGATTACCTAATGCTCGAAAGAATGAATATTTCATCTATAACGAAACATATTTTCTTTTCTATTGAAGTATGAAAATATAAAATTTCACCAATACATTTTGTCACCACCGCTACCCACGATCTCTCTTAATTATTTATACAATTCTTACATTACAAATGGGAGCAAACATTAGTTTGATAATAAATATTTTCTGTTCACTCGTGAATTAATATTTCTTTTTATCTGTTTTTTCGATGAAAACATCTGGTTTCGAGGATTCCCCGTCCAATTCTTTACTGAAGAATTAATATTTTTGTTTCACAATATAAAAACGAATTATTATTTTTATTTTACGCATATCGCGATTGATTACAGGGAAATATGTAATTTTATACACGAATCTCTTCGTTTTTTTGTCTCATCTGGAAAGACAAATAATTTAGACGCTAGTCAGTATTGGGTGTCACCACATCCCTCTGTAATAATTTTAATTTTATCGAGATATATTTATTTCCCCTGTGTATTCCGTCAAACTTAATTTATTCGATTAATCAATTCCTCGTCGGTTCTATCATTTCTCATCAATGACAGAGTGGGGATTTGATTTTGGTGCTCTCAAATAATATCACATCTCCCACTCAAAAGTGGTTATCAATGTTGGCCAATTGTATATTCATGAAAATCTCTGATGTGTGTGCATAACTACTCCACAAGTACTTGAAGGTGAGAGATTATCACTCCGTGTACCTATGGATATAGAGCAAGACGTATTTTTCTCTGCTGTACATGAAAATGAAATATATATGTATAAATAAAGATTACTTATATATGAAACTTCCTGAATGCTTCCTGAATCCTTCGTTGTGTTGAATTTCCATCCTTTGGGTAAAAATACTTCTAAAAACGATTTTTCTATACAGTTTCTATTTTTTTCATTATGGACATGTATGAAAAACATCAATAAACTCAGTGAATTAGCTAGAAAACTCTATTTGAATTCTATTAGAATTCTAGGGAATTTTCGTCAAAATTCCATTTGTTTTTGGTAGGAAACAGTCAATAGATTTTGATTTTTCTATATGAATATTTTCTTGGAATTGTTTCTTGTTGTGACAGCCGTCATAAACACTTCATCATGTGACCGTCATATTACGGATCATGTGACGCATTTGGATCTTCAGCCGTACTCGGCATGACTTGAAGTCCCACTGTAAATAGTCCCAAAGTTAAACCCGACCCACTTACCAACTACATAGATCTCAAAGCAGTGCCGAGAAATACTTGAGATTTTCTGAACTATTCATCCGATCACACCGTGTATATCCTCCACAACATTGAATGGAAAAAAAAACCGGTTCCACACGTCTCTCCGTACTTAAATTCTCACGTTAACGTTAGTGTAAATAGTCGTTGAGCATTTCATACCGATTTACTGGTGTATTCACGCAGTCGTTTGAATTTCAAACCGGGTGAGCAATGGGCGCTGGGTAATAAATCTCGTGTTGGTGTTGATGACTCTGAGCTCTTGCACTTGAAGAGTGAAATTCTTGGAAAAGTCTAATTTTTTTAATTCCAAAAAATGCAAAACACACCGAGACATGACGCATTTGAATCAAATAAAACTGTTCATTTGAAATTTTCTATTCATTACAACAATATGCAAATGAAAATGAGTTGATTACACGAAATGAATAATTTATTAATTCGAAATGGATCTTCTATTAACATCAGAATGAACGAGTTGCTTTATTCAAATAAAGCATTATTACATGTTAATTAATTTGTTATCTTATTTTTATTTAGATTAATGGAATATTTATTCATATTTGAAAAACTATTCATTTGATGTGAATAATAATGCACAGAAAAATCAATATTACAAGCTATTTGAATAAACCCGTTCATTTGATTCTAATAAAGGTGAATGTCAGTTAAATCTAGTCATACAATGCAAAGGATTTTCCAATTTTCCTCATTTCAAAGACTAAAAAATTTAGAAATACTCTGAAAAATTAAATTTTTTGACGCAACAGTAGAAAACGATAACACAATTTACAGCATCGTGGGTCCCATTTAAATTATTCGGTTAAAGAGAACATATTTATTTAGGACACATGTTCTCCTAAAAAAATAGTGTTAGTCCCTTTTTTGGAATATATTTGAATATATATGTTCTCCTCTCTCAAAGATGCATTTGTTTATATTCGAAAAACCATTCAATTGATGTGAATAAATGTTGAAGATTAGTTAAATCGAGTCATACAATGCAAAGGATTTTGCAGTTTTCTTCTTTTCTAGAACTAAAAAATTGAGGGATATTAAAAAAACAAATGATTGTTTATTGTAACGGTAGAAAATGATGACACACTACATGGCATCACGAGTCATGTTAAGATTATTTAAAAAATGTATTCACAATTACTTTCAAGCAATCATAATATCACAAAAAAATTGAATTAGACGATTTTCGTCATCTTCCGAGGGACCAACAATCAATGAAATCAATGAAAGAAGCATCAGTGGAACCAATTGAAAGCATATCCCAGTTGAAAGTAAAATTGGGTTACAAGTGATACACGTGGGAGAATGAATTGCGTCGACTCATTAGCCACCAACGAGTGGGAATGAGAAAAAAATCTCCAATTTGCCCGCTGGCTAGTTTATGATTAAATAAGCTATAACGAATGGTGGATAGGCCAATGCTGGCGATAAATGCAGCATTCTGACAGTGTATTTGCGCCTCGAGTAAAACGATAAACGACGCAGACGACTCGAAAGTGAGACCTCGATCACGTTCCACGGTCAACTCTCACAGGGCTTAGGGGCTTGGCCTAAAACTTGAATCGGCACTATCGTCACCTCGTGATTATCCGTATATAGATTTGTATCATTTGTAATTCAATGGGTAACAAGTTTTTCTCACTTGTGTGTGACCAATGCAGATATGAATTATGAATTGTTTTGATTAAGTGTTGGGGTGCAAAAGGTAATATTAGTTCCCAGGGGTCATCAATCATGGAATTGAATGGGAGAAATCATTGGGAGATGAAAATTATACTGATTATTTTTCCCAATCGGATTTCGACCAATCAGAGCGCAGTGTTTGAGGCCACTCGACAGTTTTATTTCGGATATTTCCGCCTAGCTTCTGAATATTTCGCAGTTTTTCTTCATTTTTTTACCTGATTATTTTTCCAACCCAAATATCCGGCAATATAATTGGCCCATTCGACATCACGTGGTACAAGCTACAGGGTTTTCAACTGATAATTTTTTGATAATTTTCTCTGGTAGTTGCTATAT